GTGTGAGTGTGTGTGTGTGTGAGTGAGAGTGTGTGTGTGTGCGAGTGAGTGTGTGTGTGAGAGTGTGTGTGTGCGAGTGTGTGTGTGAGAGTGTGTGTGTGAGTGTGTGTGCGAGTGAGTGTGTGTGTTTGAGAGAGCGTGTGTGTGTGTGTGTGAGTGTGTGTGTGTGTATATATATATGTGTGTGCGTGTGTATACAGTATATATATCTCACACACACACACACACACATATAAGGTGAATATATCATTACATTTGCATTCATCCAAAATGACTTACAAATGAGGAATATACACAGATTCATCCTAAGCTCCATTTCAAAGAAGCAAAAACTTTAATTTACTTAACTCAATAAAATAAAGTAAATAATTGTATTATTATTATTATATTTTCATATTTTTATACATCTCATATTCTAATTATTATTTATTATAATTAATTGTATTAATTATAATGAATTAGCTTTGCCGTAAATCAGATGTTATCAGGAAGAATCACAGCACATATAAACAAACTTTAAAGTAGTTCCACATCAACATTATTCTTTATAATTTGTAATAACACCTTTTTTAATTGTACTCTCTCCTTCTCTCTAACATAAACATATTCATATCAGTCCTGATTAGTAAAAGGTTTACCAATTAGAAATTAATGTTGCTGCTCTGCAGGACACAATAATTAGAGACAAAAATCTATAGACTAGTATAAAAGTAACAGTCTTTCTTCCTCTGACATTTTTTGGAGCAATCTACATTCACAATGATTAGTAGATCGCTATTAAATTATGGAAATAGTATTTCTGGCCACATAATTTCTGTAGTTCACAGGACAGTCACACGGAAGATTATATTCAGTAAGTGCTATTTTTATAGGAAGACCTTTTCATCTTTTTTGAAGAATGAGCAGCAGTAATGACACATAATTTCACAATGATATTGTATATATTAATGTTCTGTATTTTATTACAGGCATTCCTACACATTAAAAAATATGACAATAGTATTTACGCATTTTATTTTTTATTAAACCTGGCAGATAAATATAATTACTCACCAGCAGAACTGTTTATGGATTTCAAAGGTTGGGTTGAAGTTCAAAGTGTTTTTTTTTCGATGTTTTGTAACGCGTCTGTATGTCGCGCGTTTATGACGCACTGACGCACTCACACGCGTGTTTCTGCGCAAGCGCGACACCTGGCGGAGAGAAGCGACATTACAACAGCGCGCAGATGACTCTCAACAGTTTGAGAGCCATAATCTTAAAAACTTTATAATCCACACAGTTCATAGTTCAAGCATGATTTATAATGCAACATTTTTCAAACATTATTTATAATGGAAAATTATTTTATTTTACAAAACAAACAGATTTAATTCACTTCTCATGTGAGAGCTGGAGTGGATACTAAAAGAAAACCAGCCCTCATAACAGTTACAGACCTGCACACATTTCTTCATTTTGTCTTATTTCAGAGTTTCATCACTTTACCATTAATCTAAAATATGGAAATATACATAATGAATATCTATGTTCAAACTTTTGCTGTATGTTATGAAATAGTTTTTTTTTTTTTACATAAATGTGTCCCTGGAGCACAAAAGCAGTGTTAAGTCACTGGGGTATATTTGTAGCAATAGCCAACAATACATTGTATGGGTCAAAATTATACATTTTTCTTTTATGCCAAAAATCAAATAACATTGTATGGGTCAAAATTATTGATTTTTCTTTTATGCCAAAAATCATTAGGATATTAAGTAAAAGATGATGTTCCATGAAGATATTTTGTAAATTTCCTACCGTAAATGCATCAAAACTTCATTTTTGACTAGTAATATGCATTGCTAAGGACTTAATTTGGACAACTTTAAAGGCTATTTTCTCAGTATTTAGATTTTTTTTTTTTTTGCAACCTCAGATTCCAGATTTTCAGATAGTTGTATCTCGGCCAAATATTTTCCTATCCTAACAAATCATACATCAATGGAAAGATTATTCATTCAGCTTTCAGATGATGCATAAATCTCAATTTCATAAAATTGACTGCTTTTGTGCTCCAGGGCCACATATTTCGAAATATCAAATAATCTTCATTCTTATTTTGTGAGAAAACTGTGTGATGCAACATTTTTATTGATATTTTTGATCAAATGAGTTAATAGTAGGCTCTTTTTTTTTTTTTTTGCAAATAGAAGCAAGGCCGTGTGATATGTTCATGCTGGTGTCTGTGCGCAGGATTTCTCTGCAGATCTGCAAACTTACCATACACTGGTAAAACACACACACACTCACACACACACACTCACTCATGTATTGAAATGAGCTGTGCAAATATTCTTCAGATCCCC